ATACAACATTGCGTTAGATATACACTCAAGAAATTACTTCTGTTTTTATACTTACACTGTAAATAAGCTGTTGTTGATTACGGTCACATTGGTTTCTTGTTTTTATGTTGTTGTTTATTTGTAAACACATGCTCACTCAACAGTTAATTAGATAAATTCGAGCTTAATACAAGAAAGAAGGTAGTCACCTAGCATCACATTATTGTACTAAAAGTGTCACAACAAGTAGTAATTTCGTTTATTTTCTCCTATCACAAATAAGATTATATACTTTGACACTTGATTTAACTAAAAGGGAAATACGTATGGATGGTGATATTTAGTAAGTTGTAATAAACAACAATAAAGACATAGAGTAATACAAGTTCTTAAACATTTCTATCTCCCGGCATATGCAAGTTTTCGAGATGTTAAGACACAGCACGTATACACGAATGTTCGTATTACGGGCCATGTTTTCAGTCTATCTTATTAACCTAACTTATCTAGTGGACTATATCATAATCATTATTTTTTTTACACGTGTTATTTTCGGCATACTCAGTTATTTTATTTAACTATCGGGCTTTGTATCATTTCTTTTCACACAAGTTGTTTTGTGTCAAATTATTACATTATAAACCCCATTATTTTGCAGTAGTGAAACTTGTTTTGATATACAAACACATGATTACTATTATTTACCGTTTCAGTAAAGAATGAGCCCATTGCACCTTACTATTGTAATATTCGAGATATCTTCACTACATCATGGTTTTATTTAATGGATGATGCCTACTAATTTTTGTTCAGTCATATCTAAAAGTATTAAGTTTCGCTTATGAGAAACCTTTGTATATTTGTTTCTACTGCCAAGCTTTGTGTATAACTATATATAATATACAACGCTCCGCAGTTTTAGAAAAACTTGTTTGTGAAATGTACTCCATTCCACACAAAAGATTGTTAACACAAGTTTCTACAAGGATGGTCAACAATTACATGTTTATAATTTGCAATCTATACTTGACTAACTTACAAAAGATTCATGCAATAAACAACGCTATTCACTGTTCTTAAGCTTCCTGAGCTATACATAAAGTTATAAGTGCGTTTCAAAGCATCTGTGAGTATGTATACAATATTTTGTTCCACAAATATCTCACTAAAGAGAATAGTTTGCCTTTTCTACTATTTCTCTACCCCGAGTTATTAGATCAAAATTTACTCGACTATTTTCCAATCTATTTTTGATAGTATAGATTGTGTTTAAGTTAGGAGGTAAAAAGTATTCCAACACTTCTTAACTAATTCACTTCAAAAGGATTTTGGAGCCTCACCACGTCGTTATTGTCCATGTTGCCATGTCCGGTTATTTTCTACCTTAAAAGTGGCAATAGCCCTATGGTAGAATTTACCATTACAAAAGGATCTGATCTAAGACTGTTAAGTCCAAAGCATAACACTCATCTCTGCATGTTTTCCATAATGCATCTAGTGTACGAGGATAGTGGTTTTCAGCACCCGTTTCAACAATCCGATCGCCCAGAAATCTATAGGTGACTTGACCGGTATGTCTTATGATATGCGATGGTTGAAAGGGAGGTATGACTGGTTCATCAGAGGACGTATGTTTTGCTGTATAGTTTCACTTGCTGCGATATTATTTGAAACCAATTCACGGATGTATGGCTTATAAGAATAATCAATATTTTCATAATCAAATACAAAAGAGCCTTTTGAAATCCACATTTGTTTTTAACAACCCGCCAACGTTTTAGATTTGCATGAAGTACGAGGAGAATAACTTTTTCTGGGACTCGTTACATCTAGCTAATGTCAGTAAGAATATAAATTAAAAAAAATAGTGTATATGAATTAAACTGTGTTCCTCTTTTTTTAACGCTCGTTTCGCATTAGAGGCCTGTTTTAGCTTAAATAATTCAAGCGTGTTACAAGACGTAAAGCTGATAGCCCAGAATCTTCAGGCAAAACGCCTGCTCGGTTTGTTAGTTGTTAGTAATGTGTTTTACTTTGGACTGCAGCCATGATTTAGTCTTTCTGAAAATCTTTTTCTCTTTGGAGCTATCATTTGACGTGAGTCTGCTGTTGAGGTGGTCCACAATACTATTTCCAAAGAACCCAGTTCATTTACTTACTTCCGAGAAGAGGGAGACGGGGCAGGGAGGGAAAATTACCAATGTGAGAAGGGAAGAAGATTTGAACCAAATCAGAACAAAGCATACTTGTTATGTGATGGGGATAAATGAGGTGTTTTTACTTCCCCTCTCATTTAGTATTGGAATACCTAAGTTATATAAATAATCCAACTGTTGTTTTTTATCTTACCTTCAGAATGTCGTGTAAATGTGCATGGAATGGGCTTGTCTTTTAGAATGTTTAGTAGCACACTAATTCCCATTCGTCTAACGGACTTCTTTATCCTCATATGCCATACAAATACTGGCTTTGTATCTAAGAATGAATACCCTATATTTGTAACCCAAAATAACTCCAAATTGACACTTTTTATTGTTTAATTAATCAAGTAAGTTTAATGTATTTTAACTTTCATGATAATCAGCACGTCGTTTTTGTTGTTTTTTTATTTAGTTACTTAATTATCTAGAATCAGGACTGCCAGTTTTAAAAACACATTGGGAAGATTTCAAACTGTCTTTATTGTCTTTTTAATCTTTTTTTTTTTTTTTTAGTTAGGCGGTTGACAAAATGCATCGTTATTAAGTCGGTTCTAACACAAACTTTTCGGATATATTTTGGGATAATCCATTTTAGTGAAGTTGGACAACTATAAACTTGTATTGGGAAGTTATCTTTCTTAACGTTCTATTAATCATTTATCAGTTTCTCATTAAATTAGCTTCTTGATGTGATTTATTGAGCTATATAAACAGCAGTGTCTTATTAGTGTACATGTTTAGGTGTCTTATTGAGGTATAAAAAGAACTGTTCTTTTTATACCTCAATAAGACACCTAAACATGTATACTAATAAACTACTGTTCTTTTTATACCTCAATAAGACACCTAAACATGTACACTAATAAGACACTGGAAGTTAAAAAGGAAAGGAGTTTCAATGGTTTAAAGGGAAAAAAGAAAGGGGGATAAGAATGGATTTGAAAGATGTTAAAGAAAAATAAGATAAACAAAGAATTGTGTAAATAAGTCAAGAGTTTAAAAATGAAGATAAGGAGAACTAGCCAAAAATTTAGATAGGTAGTACTTTTTTAAAGATATATTTAGTTGCTTAAGTTTGATATATGTTTTATTACAAATTAAATTTGACTATTATTAGAACTGCGAATGCGATTATACGGAAATATGTTTATAGGAATTTATGTACCCTTTCCTAAAGGAAACATTTCCCAAGAGAGATAAATTTATTTATTAATATACTAAATTAAGAAGGTGTTAGATTAAACAGATTATAACCTTAAAGTCAATCTGTTAAAAAGCATCTTATTACGTAGCTCAGTGAAATATGTGAACGTATATCAACACATTACACACGTGTTTATACAACCCAATGAGTCACGAAACATGTATACTAATAAACTAGCACCTCTTCACACTTCCACATGTGTTCCACAGGCTCATATTCTCTCTTACAAGGCCCGGCATGAGCAGGTGGTTAGGGCGCTTGACTCGCAATCTGTGAGTCACGGGTTCGAAACCCCGTCACACTAAACATGCTCGCCCTTTTACCGTGGGGGCGTTATAATGTGACGGCCAATCCTACTATTCGTTGGTAAAAGAGTAGCCCAAGAGTTGGCGGTGGGTTCTGATGACTACCTGCCTTCCCTCTAGTCTTACACTGCTAAATTAGGGACGATTAGCGCAGATAGCTCTCGTGTAGTTTTGCGCGAAATTCATTACAAACAAACAACTCTCCTACATCTTTTACATTTCCGTTATTTTACGATCGTCTATTTCTTCTGTCCTCTATGGATATTACCAATTTTTAATACTTTTCCTTCTCATCCTTTGAAACATTGAGCCTGATCTTTTATTTTTTTATAATGCGTATAATAGGTTGTTTGCTCCACTACATTTCAGTTCTCCTGGGTATTCTCTTATATTTGTCTCCCCGTGGGTCAAAGGAAAGGTTACGGTCTTACAACGTTAAAATCCCGGTTTAGATTCTTCGATTTTGTTTATCATTTTCACAATAATCGGTCAATGTTTTGACTAGTTTTTTTTATCATCTGTATTTATTCCTTCTTAATTCAATTACACTTATAATATGCTTAATTTAACACCTTTCCCAATGCATTTTCAATCACAATTAATGAATATTAAATTTAAAGGTATAAAAACGTTTTAATATAAGACTCTCTATTTGAATTTGATGTAACTTATTAAATTTGTTCCACACTGACTATTGATCGTCATTTTCTGTACAGAAAAAAATAATTAACAAAAATTAACAGGCTCAGTTTCCTTAGACACGCGTTATTTTAGAAAAAGAGCGAAACCGTGAAGTGCGGGCTTCTGTTGGTACAACAATCAACATTATAATTGAGTGTAAACTTCGTTAGATTTCGTCGAAAATAATTTTTTAATCTTAAAAAATAAATATATTACTTTTGTTTATTTACGTATGTTTATTGAATCATTGGCTAGGTTGTTTGACGTTTACTTCCAGCTCAAATCGTGTTTTCTATTCAACAATTGTGAAACAGGTATTGGGACAGCTTATTACAAAAACAAATATTTTCAACGTCGTTTTAGTCACTGACCTAAATTGACGTGAGCTACCTTTACATTTCGTAATTGCTACATAACTTATGGGTAAAATTATTTCATATCGAAACTGGTTAAAATATCTGTTCTATACAAAACAGGCTATATCACATACTAGAAGGGTGTCTTTTTTTTTCGGAATATTTGGACAAATGAATCAGCTTTTATATTCAGTTTTTATTGTGATATGTTTAAGAAAATCGAAAAGTTCTCTGCTTTTTGCACTAAATCTTATCATTATCATTTGTTATGCAGATATTATGAAACAGGGTCCATAAAGCCTGGGGTCATTGGTGGAAGCAAGCCTAAAGTGGCCACTCCTAAGGTTGTTGATGCAATAGCTTCCTACAAAAAACAGAATCCCACCATGTTTGCCTGGGAGATCCGAGACCGCTTACTAGCTGACGGGATTTGCGACCAGGATAACATCCCCAGCGTGAGCTCTATCAACAGGTGAGAAGACCATAGATATATCTATTTACCTGTATATCTATCTTTCTTCATTTTATTATACTATAACCGTGATAATGTTAACCGGGTTGTATTAGGGCGTTCATTTACCGAGTTTTTGGTTTTACTGAGCAATTATGAAAGAATTACAATATATGGCCATGAAATAAGTTTTACATATCTATTGCATTTGCCATTTTCGAAAAAGGTTTTTGAAGACAATAGGTCAAATTAGCTACATTTCCCTGTGTTTCATCATATCGGTTTGAAACCTTACAATAGGATATCTAAATTATATACATGTTTTTGGGAAAAGGTCAACATCAAAAAATGGTTGGTGATCCATATGACTTTAGGTTCTTAATTATCAATAAATCACTCATATCTGTATGATGAAGTTCAGAATGATAGACACAAATGATTCTGAATATACAATATTAGTATTAAATGAATGACTTTTTTTAGGAATTTTAACTACAACTTAGTTACGTAAACAGTAAACCAAAAACATAGCATCGCTTTATAATTTTCGTGAAAGGAATAGGGATTTGGTTAATTTTCATTTACATTCATATATCAACTATGTATTACTTCTGGCATAAGTCGAACTAGCTGTCTCCCCGTATGATGTACTAAGGCGATTTTCACTGAAGAGGTACACAAGTAGCTATAATTTGTTTGTACGTGTATGAACTGTAGACTGCTGTAAATTCGGACGCTGAGGAGATGCGCAAACATAAAGAAGGGCCATAGTGATTTAGTGGCCATAACGCAGCAGTGCTGGTTAGCCCACCACAAGGGGTAAACACATAACCAGTGGTGTATTCACTATAGGTCGAAAGTATGGCTATGCCTCGACTTCACGGCCCTGTAACTTCCTGTAATGTTTATTAATTTGGCGGAAATGATTGTTATAGTTCTCCTCTGGACTAGTATTCAGTCATATTGAAGGAAGATGAAGATTTACAGCAGACTGAAAACTTGAGGATTTGATGTACCACATTGATAGTAACATCGAGGAAAACAAGAGAAAACATGCAAACTAAATATACTTCTAAAATAGAGAAGATGTCTAAATGTACAAGTCATTTAATGATGGATGAATGGATAAACAGGCAAGCAGAAAGATAGTGGGTGATTGGTAGATAGACAAGCAAATACAAAATCAGAAGGATAGAGACAGGCTAATAGATAGATAGAAATTAGTTTTCTTTTTACGTTTAGAAGAGCACTCTAATTCACGTGGTATATCAAAAAGAAATGCTAAGAAGTAGGAACATAGCCCTAATGCTTATCTAAATGACCCGTAACTTTGTTGATAATGGCGCTATTCAAAGTGTTCTCTCTGACTAAGGATCAACTAACTTTTAAATATTAGTGTTTGTAGAAGCTAGAAATGACATCAGATATAATCATACATAACTTTGTCTTTAGTACTCTCTTACTTAACTAACTATCAAATTTTAATTTGTTACTCATAGTTCTTGAAAAGCAATAACCAGCACCAACGAACACTTCTATGCTTATATTAATTATTTCCTTAAATGTGTTCACACATAATATTAGATTTTAACTACCACATATAATATACTAAATATATACAACGTCCTCTACAATTCTATACTTATATTAATTATTTCTTTAAATGTGTTCATACGCGATACTGCACTGTTAACCACCATATAAAATAAATTAAATATACACAATGCCCCTACAATTCTATACCTATATTAATTATTTCTTTAAATGTGTTCACACGCGATACTGCACTGTTAACCACCATATAAAATAAATTAAATATATACAATGCCCCCATACAATCTTATACCTTTTATTACTGTCTTCCCCACGACACGTGATCAATAACGGTCACATTTTGAAAAGTCATCCTTAACTTCATGATGATCTAAAGAGGTCGAAACTTTGTTATTTTTTTTGTGTTTTAAATAATCTTTTAATAACCACATGAACCGTCATCATGACTAATCCAATTGATATTACATGTATTGTTTTGTTACTTTAATGAACCCGTTACAATGTTTCCTGATCACTATTTACTAGAAGAGCATGACTGTTGTGATATTATGAATAACTAACGAAAAATTAATTTGAAATTAATGTCTTACTGATGACATGACGAATAATTCATTGTAGTCGCATAATTATCTGTTTATTTCGCTTATATTTTAACACGTGTCCTGTTCTGTTAAAGGGCAGTAATATTTCAAGCATGTTAAACATAAAAAGTGCGAGCAATGAGATTACGCCTCTTAATTTTCACAACTAGTGGTTTATACTCCTTGTAACTTTATTCTTACACATAATGTTAGCACACTTATAGGCTAAAGTTTTCTTCAACTTCTCAACCGTCATTCCAAGCCCTCTAACGATATATTTCAGAATTTAATTCACGTAAGATCTAAAATAATTATACGTGGTTAACTTGATGAGATATAATTTTCTTATTACTTAAAAAATCAAACAAAGAAACACGACAAGACGATTATATAGGATGCTTCCTGAAATTAACTACATCAGTTCAATCAGTTACTAAACGTACTCTATATCGGCACTATCTGCATAATTATCTGATTCAATACGGGATCTTGTAAGGGGCAATGTAAACCATAGATAAATAGATGGCTGGTTGGATAGATAGATAAAAACGTAACAAGATCTTATACAAAAAGTAAGAACTTCGACGCATTTTATCATATTATTCTTCGATGTTCAAGATAAAGATAGGATAAGATGTGAGGCTTTTAGTGACTATCGCTTATTAATTAGTTTTCGTTAATAATTTACCAAGCCTACGCCAAACTTTTGGGATTGAAATCCCCACGAGAGACCTCACAAAGAGATTGAAAGGAGATATTCTATTAGGGAAAATTACTAACACCAAGGGTCCTATCAGATCTCTCCGAAACAAGCGCGGCGGCTTTTCCCGGCGGGAAGGTCTGCAGAAACTATACTGTTGTATGACGGTGGTTTGTAGACGCTGAAAGCTTAAGTCGATTACAGGTGATTAGGCCTAACATCTAGGTCTGTGGTAGCTAGCTGCAGCTAGTCAATCATCACTTGTATAGTACACGTGTATACATGTGCTTGTAAACCATGTTTGGGCCACATTAGGGAGAGGGGATGCATAAGCACGTGGGAAATGTCACTGATTTTGAGAAGTATTATACAGCTTCCGAAGTTTCAGAGTATCATGTGTTAAAGAGTAGGTTGCATCGCAGCTTCGAGGACCCTCAAAGGAATTAGGCTTATAATAGACTCCCGGGGAGCAGTCCTTAAAACCAGGTCTACAACTAATAAAATAGAACTAGTTGTTGCCAGGGTGGTCTCTGCGTATTTAGAAGCTGTTTCTGGTACCAATTTTGTGATTTTTCATGGCGAAAACAGAAAAAACAAATCCAACTAATTTCGACATATATCCAACTATGCCACATATTTGTGTGAGCACAATTTATTTTAATTGATACTCGAAGTAGAATATTAGTCACGACCTTTTATTGCACCATGAGAAAGGGTGCATCAAACATTGAAGAAAACACCAAAGTATATATCCTCCTTCAAACATGGTACTTCTTTACCTTTTATACAGATATTCGATATTTACTTTTATACCATACCTCCCATATGTTTAACGTACCACACGTGTATGCTTAATATGGTGAGATATGTAACGTTGTATATAGTGTGTTAAAAGGTATAGCTAAGGTAAAATATGCTCATGATACATTGGAATCACCGAAACAAAAAGTTTTCTGGAAAATTGCTTGTAGCTATAAAAATTAAAACCCACACAATGTTCTTTGATACAAAACAAGAAGGATGTAGAAAAAGAATTGAGAATTCTGTGTAAAAATATTAATATTTTCTTCAAAGACATATATATATATATATGAACATACACACAAATACACAATATATATATATATATCAACACCCTATTTGATTCATTAAAGCATAGAGTTAAGGAAGGTTCTGCTGATTACTTTATTAAATTGAGATATAACAGCTAAAGTCAGTATATTGAATTGAGATATTACAGCTAAAGTTAGTATATTGAATTGAGATATTACAGCTAAAGTCAGTATCTTGAACTGAGATATTACAACTAAAGTCAGTATATTGAACTGAGATATTACAGCTAAAGTCAGCTAAAGATTCTTCTTCGTGCGCTAACTAGCATGAGATGAAATCATGGTTAAAAACAAGCCGAAAACGTCTCACAAAATGTGAATGCATGTCTCGATAGCTTTAGCTCTTGTACAGCAGCACGAGAATGAGCCTACACATTCAAGAATATTGTTCCTTTGTATTACACGTCCCGGGAGCTAAATGGCGTTTGCATGTACTTTTCTTGCGATAATTCACCATCGATGACCTTAGCTGAAGTCAATCAAACCTTTAACCACGCCTGGGAAGGTTGCAAGTTTTAAGGGGTACTCCCCCCCACCTATTATTCTGGTAGTTTGACAGCGGTCGAGCCATCTGTCTGCTCTTACTGTTCGCCGTTGTGTTCGAATACACATCCAAGCTTGAGCTAAAGCTAGGTGACGTGGTCATTATGGGTAAAGTGAACGATTGTGTATTCGGGGCGAGAAAGCTTGCTGCTACTCCATCTTCTAGTGTATTCAACTCAAGCGCTATTGAGTTGATTTGACTTTAGTAAGTGCCAGTCTGCGTCATACCGACCGTGTGCAACCAACCAGAAGAAACATTTCTCTGAATAGATTGTCTATCAACTTCTCAGTTAATGTACCTGAGAAGTTTCTGTCGCCAACAAATGGGGGGGGAAGGGGTATTCGGTCTCACAAACTGAACCTTTACGTGATTTGGCATCAAATACCGTCGGTCACAAGTTGTTTCATGATGCTTTATGAAAATAAATGAACTGCGTGCAATAAACTAAATCCAAATCTGTGTTTTCTGGTTGATTATGCCAAATTGACAGTGATGTTTCTCAAAATATTTTCTCTAATAAATTTCATAACAGTGTTATCTTTCGTACATATAACGTGTCAGATTTGTATACATCTTAGTAACACATTATATTTATAACGTTCCTCTAGACAAAGCAATCTTTTTTACACTTTTATTAAAGCCTAAATTCATAGCAAAATACAGAATAAGATTTTTATCATATGTTTGATATATCCTACATAACAGAAAATAGATCGAGGTAATTTTCTTGATGTCTTTGTTCAAAAATTTATGAATGTTGAAAATAACCCTTTTTATATATTTATTATTTTTTCTTTATATTAAACAATTTGATTTACTACTAAAGACGAAGAAACAAGAGACTATGTAAACCAAGATCCCCATCTCCAATACAAGGGAACCAGCTTTACAAGCCCCCCCAGTGGCACAGCGGTATGTCTGCGGACTTACAATGCTAGAAACCGGGTTTCGATACCCGTGGTGGCCAGAGACACAGATAGTCCATTGTGTAGCTTTGTGCTTTATTCCAAACAAACAAGCTTTACATACTTCGTCTCCCCTCCTCATAAAGTTAGATGGACTTACGAATTCCCCATGTTGAATTTAATTTTGAGTTCAAAATAATGACTAGTTTTAAATGAATAAACATTCTAAAAATATTTGGTAGCTGGAGATAAATATAGGAAGAGATAAGGTAAAGATATTAAGATTAAAAAATATAAAGTCATGTGAGTTGGTCATTAAACTGCTTATTTTCACATTAAATTCGCTTGTGTCCTTACCTCTCTTTCCTACAAAGGTTGGCTCCCCACTGCATAAGAATAGGCCTGAACTGCCAGCTTAATTGTGAAAATTTTCCACACCAGCATGACCCTGATCCCCTAGTTGTATTCATTCTCAACTTTGGCCTTCCTCATCCCCCACGTTTTGCTTCCGTTGCTTATGTAAGAATAATGATGGTTCTGATAACGTTGCTATATTATTTGATACATACCACATTGTTATAAATAATTTTATATATACTATAGCTGTAAAGTTTAACGCACATATAATGAAACATTATTTATTTTCTACAAATTTAATACACGAAAAACAAAAACACGTTTTGAATATATATGTGTATATAGTTCAATATATGTAGAGTAAACATCTTCTATAAAGAAGTTTGTCCTCTATGTATACTGAACTTTATACGCAGATTACTGTTATCTTGTTTTATGATTCTAGCATTATTAGCTAATGCACTAATGTAATCAGAAACATTAAAACGGGAATAGGTTTTACACTTTAAAACCATTTCTTCTTCTTCCCTCTTAAGCTTTACTCTAGCCAACAAAATGTTTAAGAATTATTTTTAATTATTTAAGAATCAAACAGGTACAACATCATTGTTCACGTGTAAATACTGAAGAGTTTTTTGGTTATTTGCGTGTAAAGACATACGTGATTATATCACTTTATATGTGTATTATTAAAAATGAAGAGCTGATTTCTGCATTATTTGTCATTATTTTGTACAGAATTTTTTTTAAAAGATAGAATACATATGTATAATTTCTCCAGTGGTCTTATTTGAAAAACTTATTTCAGTTTTCTATAGTACATAATGAGATAACTATAAAACTTGTATACATTCATCCCCAGTCATCAGACGTTTCACAAAAACCATAACTACAAAGATATTACACTCGAAGAAGGTAAAACAAAACCTCTCAAATAAAGGCCTCAAAATATTTTAAAATATGTACTTTTATGTATAGTAAGTTTGATGTTATTCGACTTTCAAAATACATCAATCAGAAATAAATATCAATTACCAGAAACTATTCCTATATAATGAAGCACGAACACAGCACTTTTCTAGTGATCTTGACTTCCGATTTAACCTATAGATTAGTATAACCTTATATAAATTACGAACCTCCTACTTTAAAGCATGCGCAAACATAAACCGAGTGCTCTACTTAAGTTCCAGTGCGAACCATGTTCATGCAACACATTCTGTTGATTGATATTTGGTTGTTTTTTTTTCGTGTGAGTTTGAATGATAAGATTTACTTCTTAGCATTAACACATCCAAACGTACTTGTTTTAGCATTGCCATATTTAGTAGATTAGCATAATTTGGTGCTGCTAATAATCTGCGTTAATACTCTTTTTGCTGTGAATCTGGAATTCATGTAGTGTGCCTAATAATTCCATCAACGAATTCTTATTCATGTCTTTAGAGGTTTATGTTCTGTTTATACTATTATTAAGTTTTGTCAAATTTTCCTTTAGAACCAAATTTACTCGATTGGTGACAAACAATATTTAACTTGATTCATAAGAATTTAGGGCACAGAGAACATCAACCAAGAAAAAAAATATATATAAATGACAATCAGAATAAATACATGAATTAGTACTGTCAGTTATTCTTATACTTAAACATACAGGATATACGGAAAGTCTTGAAAGATAGGCACTTCAATGAATTTTACAGAATGTGTTCCACTTGCTCTCTTTGTAATTCGAAACAAGTTTAGATTAACATGCTTTGACAACGCCATAATCAGTTACATGCCTGAAATTAAGAAAAGTTGCAAATCACCTATGGTTTCAAACCTTTCGGATACCCTGTCTAATGAACCGATTCATCAACACTAAACATTGTAGCAATTACTTATTTTCAAAAAGTCCTCAGCGATGACATTGAAATCTTATGATGCTAAAAATGAGGGGTCGATCCCTAAAGTGGACACAGCACAGACAAACATTCTTGTAACATTGTGCTTAAGAAAAAAACAAGCAAATGCTAAAAAATATATGCAAAAAAAAAACAAAGAAAATAATTAACTCTTAATGTGCGGGTTAGTCATTAAAACTTGTGTCACTGAATTATTTATTATTATTGTAACATTTTGTCGATAAATATGCTATATATATATAAAGACATATAGGTATTTATAAGATATTTTTTACAGTACTCTGTGTATTCGTAATAACAATGTTTTACAATAATTTGTTGAAAGTGGAAGAAGGAATTGAAAGGAAAATACACTCACGTCTAAGTGCTTGATACATTTCTTTAAAAATATGTGAGTATAATCATTCTATCACTTTTGTTCCATTCTACTCTATCTAAAAGTTTAGTTATAAAACTGCTCCTATGAAACATGAAAGGTTTGCCAGGGGATACTTGAACTGATGTACGCTGCCAATGTGTGGGTTATTTAGGAAATTAAAGAGGGTGTGGGGGTCTGCTGTTCATTGTGGTTTCATAACTTTTCTAGGTCTATGTTGAAACATTACTGATGACATGAGCGGCACGTTATGCACGACAGCCCGCAGCACGCGACGTGCATAAGGTCCAGATAATAATGAGTGCTTGATGTATACATTTTTATTTGATGTATATGTACACAACTGTGTGTACATATCAAAAATATTGTTGCAAAATGTCTAGGCGCACAGTTTCCTGACACGAACTATTAACTGATGTCAGGAAATAGTTTAAGTTTAAAGTGTGTTATAAAGTATGTCTGCTAAAAACTCATTGCGTGAAAAAAAAAAATTCTGGGAATGAAATATTAACGCATCTTCTGATAATGTTTGTTTGTTTGTTCACATTATCTCTGGTTCTATGTAAAACCTAAAACTCAACCATATGCCAGATGCATTTTATATTTGTTTTTTTGCTCTTACTATTAATTCTCTAACTGATATTTACATTTAGGATTGTAAGGAACAAGGCAGCAGAAAAAGCAAAGCACACGACGGGCTCACATAATATGAATGGTGGAAGTCCACAACACCAGGCACCTGCTAACACCACCTCTGTCATTACTCATGCGCCACCAACTGCTCACGAGGGAGCGCAACCTCTTCTTCGGCCATCTTACTCCATTAATGGAATACTTGGAATCCCGAATGTTGATCCAAACCTAAATATGAATAAACGAAAAAGAGACGATGAAACTGCTGGAGGTTAGTTTAATGTTTTCAATATTTCTGAAATTTATAATTCAATTATTTAGTGTATATGCGCACGTGTGTCTGTCAGTGTTGAAAACGAAATTTATTTATAACCCCTCACTATCTAAATACATCTGATAGAAAACTACGAACATATTAACAAATATTTTTTAATTATTCAATTTGGGGAATTTTTTAACTGAGAAAAAATGTCACTGCTTCCTTTTCGCTGAATGCTTTTGTAAATCCATAAATGCCCACAAGTTTACCACATTAGTAGGCAATAGCACAGATGTAGAACGTCTATTTTAAAGTACAGATAAAGTATAAGGATCTATGGCTACCTAATTATGTACTCACCTTGTCTTTTTTTTCGGTAATTAATATATTTAATCTCATATCTCGTTTAATGCTAGCAGTAACAGTTTGCCTAAGAAAAGTTTGCACAATTGATACTGCATAATTGTTTGTCACAGTAATCATTGTGTGGTGAAATATAGATAAACATAACAATAATTAAACACTCAATCATTTTAGCATTTAGTTTACAACTTTCTTTACTCATAGTTTTAACAGCAAAAAAGAAATAAATTATGAAAACTGCCGATTTTTCAGCTTCTTTCAGTTGTTAACACTCACAAAGGTTCTTTTGTAGATTACTTATGGAAAGCGAATGGAATAATCAGTAGAAGACTCAGACCTAGAAAATAAAAATCATTTGTTGATGAATGGCATTTAAATATACAATTCACGTTAAGTCGGAATTTCATTAAAAACGTACAGCGACAGAGAGGCAAAGCTGCTCTCTGAAAACAACAAATATCAATTATAATACGAGACATATATTCCCGCAAATCCGTGTCATGAGCATCTCTAACAGCGGTAATGTCGAGTTGTGTGTAGAATGATGACAGAAAATGTCAGACAATAAGAAGAATCCCTTTATCTCACGTGGGAGAAAAAGTTTAGGTTTTTATGATAAACATTCAAACATTACAATGTAACTGTCGAGAATATAAACAATTGACGGTAAACAAAAATTAAACTTTATAATGAAACTTTCTTTCAAGCCAAGGCTTTTAAGTAGAGGTTTTTCGTTGTTTTTGTTTTTTACAAAACAATATAGTAAGACAGATAATAAATACGTACGTTCATATATAAATGTTAAGATTTTTTAATCTTATTTTCATGACTGAAACAGAATTATAAAGAAACCTCTTTTCTAGCCTCTCAATAAATTACGAACTTTGTAATTTAGGTATGAATTGGTTAAAAAGAGTCACATGATGTTTTACACGTGTAATTGGAAATATACCACATTTTGTATTCTAATACTGTAAGTACGAATTTGTGTGTATTTTACTTTATATTTCTTTTCTACAATTATAATCTTAACGTTCTATTAAGTTGTTAGTTTGACTTTAAAGAGTCAGCTTTCTGTTTGCCCCATTCATAGACGGTCACGTGCGCTTCCAAACTTTCATCAGGGCGCGAACCGTCTTTTCGTCTCTTACTTGCAGCCGTCGACACAGTTGGACGATCGCGTACAATCCGTCGATTGTACGTACACCGTAAGAAGTCTAGGCGTTCGAAACCTCGCATAAAAATGTCCTGGTTGCCTGACTACTCGTCATCCGCAGATTCATCCACAGCCCATCCGGTGGTCCAGCCCAGTCTGTCAGGGTGCTGTAGCCGAGTTCCGCTGAGCCTTAAGAAACGAATGGACAGACCGTAGCTAGCCGACCGTGGAGGCAGGCTTTATTTGCATAGACTGGGATTGCCAGTAGCGGAAACTGAACTACAGCACAAGCTTCTCTCTGCCCATCGTGTCTTTGTCGTTTGGTTCCGGAAAACACAAACAATCGGACAATGGGGTGGGTGGGTGAGTGCAGCATTGATTAGCTCGCCCATCACACTTCTAAACAAAAAACAAAAAAAAAGCAAATAGAGAAATGTCTACATTACTAAAACGGACACAAAACTTTATCCTATTAGACCAGTTTCAATATTTGGGAAGACATTTGAAACAAAAAGAGAAAAAATCAAATAAAGCCTTTGAAGTAAAAAATGATGGACCAATAGCTATGGTTTGTCACTGCTTTATACTTTTACCGTACAAATAGTAAACGTTGTTGCCTGTCAACCGTATCAAAAAGGATTATCTAGCCAAAAGTCGTCCTAATCTTAGGAAATAATAGCACACTAACAAACGCACCCAACCGCGGAATTAACAGGCTTAGTTATAGCGTGAGTAAAAAAAAAAATACAACACAATTGAGAAGACAAGCCTGATTTCGCAGATATAAAAAAAAGAAAAAACGGAACTCAGACAGGCGAAAAATTGTCAATGCCTTTTTGGTGATTAGAGATCGTACCACGTTGGTCAGTTAAGATAGGACCAGGCCTATTCTGAATCCACCTTTGCTTATTGGCTGTCAACTAATCTCGAGCTTCAGTGGTTTTGCTCGCCAAAAGTTCAGTATCAGGAACCTTGAACTGTTTTATTTCCACCTAAACAACCCAGAATGGTGGTTTTAACATTGGATTTTCTCACACTGTTTCTTTTGTTACTTCGGCTTTCTAAATGTCACGATGTTTTCTTTCGGAATGAGAGCAAAGTAAGTGATAATAAGAAATGTCATATGTGTAAACACCATCCTGTAGCAGTAAAATAACATATGTATACAGGAATAATTATAATTTACTCGAGAAACGTGCCCTTCGCCATTTCTCAGGGATAGAAGTATTTTTTTCGAAAGAATATCCTCATGTATATCCTATCTACAAATCAAAGTTACGCCACTGTATTTAGGTAACATAGAAATAATTGTCTTTAAACAAGCCTCGGTTATGTAATTTTTCTTGCATCATTAATAGGAAAACACTTACAATATTTTTGCTATATATTCTAAAAAGTGTAAACAAGACAAAAGTAAAAGCCTAATGGAACACCATTTATTAAACCAGTTCAAATATAACATATTCCATGTAAAGGCAAAAAACAAAAAAACAAGCGATTCAGCTGTTTAAATGTGAGAATCATTCAGTGATCAAACGATAAAACAAATCAAGTGACTAAACCTTTGGATTTATTTGTGACAGAAAAAAAAGAAACATGCGTCTTTTCATTTCACTTAAATTTACTTGCGTTTGTGCCTGCTTAGAAAATAACCTTTTATATTATTATTCTAAATTCATTGCCATGTAATATCGAATTATTATTATTTGTTTATATTCTAAGTAAGTTTTAGACTTTAGTTCGCATTATTCTAGTTGTTTTACTGGCGGAATGTATGGTATTACTTGTAAAGAGAGAATTTGTTCAGAAGGGTTTAAGTTTTCAAAGGGGTCTTCAAAAGCACCCGAAATTAATAGTATGATTAAAGTATAACAAATAAAATATAGATTTTGTTTTATTTGTTTTTAATTATGCACAAAGCTACACAAGGGCT